GGGACCCTCTCTACAGAGGCCGCCATGTTTTTTACATTAGTCCAGACTGGACAAACTAAACAACTTTTGAGTTTTTATGACAATTAAAGGCTACCACAGTTTCTTTTTCATTTTCGGAAGGAGACGGTGAGGTGAGGGGTGTTCAGCTGGACCAAATAACACAAAACAAATAAGAGCCACGACATGCAATATTGCTAAGGTTTACTTGTGGCCCAGATATGGCAAACCGGAGCATACTTCACAAGTGCGTACTTCCTCTGTGTGTGCAGAGCAAGTGAACTCACCTCTAACAGTGTCCAGTCAGGCTTTAGGGATACATGAACCATCATAAAGTCCTAGAACTGATGCAAAGTGTTTCTACTGGGGGTAATGGGTTTCCAGAAGCTGCCAGTGAAGGTGAGGGACCATTTAATTTGGTCAGAATGGTTTGGAGATGTCAGGGTGTGGGTCAGTAAAGGTGTGGACTGTGGATCAGAACTCAGGGAGGGCAGCCATGTGCTCCTCAGCAGCATCTGCTTCATAAATGCCTCATTAACATGTGGTACTTAACAATATATAAACCCTGAGTAAAAGAACAACGCACTAATCATTCAGATGAAGGACTTCAGGTCGTCTCTGTTAAATAATTAGATGGCTTTTATAATAATTTGTTTCCTACCAACAATAAGTCAGCATATATTACAATATTTAATGAGGGAGGCATGATTAGAGAAAACTCAGAAAAGAATGCGTAGGTTTGAGAATTCAAATTTGATTGGGAGTTGGAGACAATCCCAGATGACATTGGGCAAGAGGTGGTTACACCCTGGACAGATCGCCAGTGTAATGCTAAATAATAATAATAATGTGGAGACACGAACATTCAAACCCTTACAGACAATTTGGAATTGTCTAGATGAGATACAGAAGTGACATTTAACATCTTTTTGATTTTATTTTTAAGTTTCATTAACCTTTTCCTGTATGTCTTTATCTTGGATTGAGATCAGACAATATAAAACACAAAGGTTTATAAAACAGCACAATCTTTGTTACAAAACATGAAATGTACTTTCAGGCTGTATTTCAACCAACTGTGTAACCTGTTAAAAGTTTTATTAGGTTTTTTTAATCTCTGATCCATCAGTGCAGCTTCAACTGAAAACAGATCAAATATACATCATGGCGGACCCTCGGGAACACGTGAAATAAATTATGAGGAGCCAGGGGCCATTGTTGTGGGCATCACATGAGAAATTGCATCATTTTCACCATTAAATTCTCTGTTATAGTTCAAGTTGAATCCAAATCAAACAAAAGCAGTTAAAAGACATAGTGTAACATTGGTCAAGGTGGTAAAAATGGTTAATAGCTTTAAGCATCAAAGCTTTTTCTTTTCTTTTTTTCTCTGTTTTTACTTTAAAAAAAAAAACCTTCAGCATTCTCCCTTTGCTTAAACCTCAGAAATATTGTTTTCCACTTGTCCACTTTGAGCTCAGGGAGACTAGAAGTTAACGGCAGTGTTTATGTGGAAGATTAGGATCTTTCTTTTTATTAAATCCCAATCCACACTTTCATCTCCTCCTTTACCATCAAACCACATTTGTCTCTATATATACGGTTCGTATCCCAGCCTCATACAGTGGTCACTCTCATGACCACCTCATGGTTGGCATTGCGCAGGCTGTTGGGCCTTAACTGGCTGAGGATGTGCAAAATAGTGTAGCCACAGTGGTGGTGGAGAGTAGTCCTGACATGGCGATTCGTCCCCCGTCTGCTGTCTGTGACAGTGTGAGCAGAGTTCCTCTCAACGCGTCCCGCGCCTTTACTGCCGGAGCTGACCAGGTCACCTAAGTCCTTCGCTTTCTCATAGTTCAGCACTTTCCACTGCTGGTTCACTGCCTGCCAGCGCTTAAAGATCCGGTAAACAGACGACCCTTCATGGATTATAAGGCCTGGGCATAAAGGATAAAGGGTGGTGGAGGGTGAGCGTGCAGGTTCAGGGACAAGAAACAGGGTTACATATAGACAAACACTTGTTTGTTCATTGAGTATAAGGCAGTACTAACAGGTACAGAAGGTGCAGGGTGATAAAAACTATAAGGTCTCACAAATAAAAAGATTAAATATACAGATTTGTTCAAAACACGCATTGATGATAATCCCTTTTCACAGGAATAAACACAAGCAAGAGACACAACACAATACACATGTTCATACAAAACAGATGTCATGTGTTTCATTCAGGTCCATGCACTGTGAAAAAGAAAACATGCATATGTGTCTACTGAAAGCCAAAATGGTAATGTTTAGTTGTAAAGGTTCTAAATCTCCTTCTAATCTCAAAGGAAGTTTCCTGCCTTATTAAAACCTAAATATTCATTATTACGGAGGTTTGTGTTTTCATCTAAGACTGCTGGACGGATTAAGATGAAACTTTGGGAAAGGATGTTGTATGGTTGAGGAAAGAATAAATACAATTTTAGAGCTGATCTGGATCAGGGGGTTGATCCAGGAATTAGTTTTTCACTATCTTTGACATTGCAAGATAGGATGTTTTGCAGCATTTGAGAATTATTTAAGGTTCTTGATGAAAACAATCATGTTTATGTAATTGATCTTTATGAGTGTGTGTAATTTGGTGCAGATCCAAATGAAAATGTGAATCTAGTGAATTTAAGTGTGGTTTGAAAGGGAACTGTTGGGCCTTGGCGGTATGAACTCTACAGAGTGTCATTCTAATTTACTTATTCATTTATTAATTATCATTAATGTTTACATGTACACTCACTTGCTGTGGACTGAATGAAATACTCTCCAGTTATAATTCATTGGAATTAATTAACTGGGTGTATAAACTCTGTCTGTGCTCTTTACAATAACAACCAAATTAAACATTACTTATCCGGAGGCATGTAGGGCATTAAATGTGTTACATAGTCAGTTGTGAAGTGTGTTTATATTTCATCCACCGGTGAAATAACACAACATGGCAGCGACAGTATCGACAGTACAGTGCAATTCGTCTTACCTATACAAACGATGTCCATGAAGCCGTACATGCCGTAGCATATCTGAAAGAGCAGGTCCTGCCGCTGCCATTTGGCCGAGGGGCTGAGAGAGGACCACACCAACCAGGAGATACTCGCGATGAGGAACAAGGAGCCCAGGATGATGGCTGCGATCTGCACATTCTCGATCACAGTCAGAGAGATGGACTGCCACTGGAAACAGACACAAAACAATAGACCGAGGCTCTTTGCACTGTTGTGCATAAATATATACCTCTGATATCCCTGTGATTCCTGTTAGACACATTTCCTTCAGGTGTTTCACATGCAACGACATTGATTGGGTTTTACCAAACTGAGGAAAGAGTCTGAGATCTGACTCCACAACAAACTAGTTCTGAGTGATATGGCCAAAAATTATATCAAGTTTTTCAGATATTTGCACAAGAGTGACAGTTGTTGTTTTCAACTCTTTATGATCAGAGAATGACAAACACTTGATAAACAACAAAGCATTAATCAGTTCTGTGTTAAGTATCATACTGATATATATACTGTATATAAATATAGATCCCTGGTTATATTTATGAAAATTATATTGCAACAATTATTTATACTGTTTCATTTCCAGGGTTATAACATCTAAAAGCACTTGCAGCAGTGGAGCAGGAACTTTATTTTTTACAAATATTTCATTTGTCAAACAGCAACAAATAAATCTTGGAACAGAGTGGAACTAATAATATTTAACTGAATTAATTTATATTGCATCAAAAACAAGTGGTGCTATCTCACTGTTGCGCTTTCATTCATGTTTCGTTAGTAAAGACAGTGACCATTGTTCATTTATTCGGGAACTAATCAATTTACTGTATAAGGTTGATGGTTCAAACCCTGGCTCCCACATGTCAACACCTTAAATGTCATTGCTATAGATGTTGTATAGTAAAAACAGATTTTCCAGCTCCCTCCGGCAGTGTGGTGTGTAAATACGTTATTGCCTCGATCCATTCTGAGAAGATCAGTACACCTCTCAAGTGATGTAACTACAACACTATGTCTTTCAATAAGACAATAACAGTCTCATTGAGCCTCTGCTTATCAGAGATTTTACACTGTTAATAAAAACTCTGTTTGTTCATGTAAATCTAATAATAAGTTAGCACACACACATCCTCTGTGATTTCTTCCATTTATTGTAAGCTGTGTGAAAGGTGCTATACTGATAAAGATGGATTGATTGATTCACTGATATTCAGATGACGGGTGTCTGACTCGTGTTTTTGCTGTAAAATGCAGACATCCTCCAGCAGGAAGAGCAACTGAAGGAGCAAGTGTTTCATGTAATAATGTCTCTGTTCCAACATCATCTGTCTGTGAGTCATCTGTGCCGCACACTCTGGTGGAATCACTTGCCAACTCTTTCAGACGAGTGCAGTGTCTCGTAAATGTGTTCTTGGCACCTTCCATTAACTCGTCACTACTTTCTCCTCCCTGTAGTAGCTGCTTTATCTGCAGACAGATAACATTAATAACGTGATTCTGCAGAGAATGAGTGCAAGATCAGTTCAGAAAATGAATCCATGGTGGTGGAAGTGTAAACACTGCTGTTTGCTATCACAGTCACCTTATGATCAATGACCCTGATGTGATTACTATGGTTTTCTGCCAGTCAGCCACTGGAATCTGGCAGCATAATGTATGTGCATCAGTCTAATGTCAAGGACTTTATTCGGACAGCTACTTTTAGCGTGTAAGCCTATACCTCTCGTGGGCCACCTCAGACAATGATGCAGCTCTTCGGGTCTTCTTGTGGACTCGTCTAAATGGATGTGAGCCGAAAGTTAATGTGTCCAAATATCCAGAAACAAATCTGGGCCTTTATTGACAAACCTGCAGTGCTCTAGACGAGGTGTAATCTGGATGTGAACCTAAAGTGACCCATGTGGTTGATGGTGAATATGGCCCAAATAGCTCAAAACTATTCAGGGCCACCTTTGGCACCTTTGGTTGACATGCAGTACCGCCCTTGTGCCATCAATCCACATGGGATGTGGGCCAAATCTGGGCTAAAAGAATTCTGCTATGTGGGCTGGTTGATGGTTCTCCTCAGAGGTAAAAACACACAAGCTGAGTGACTTCATACCTGCAGTGGGTTTTTGGTGCTGATGGCCAGGACCTGGTACTTGAAATAGCACAGCTCACAGCTCCAGGAGCCTCTCTCACTGATCCATCGAATAAGGCAGGACTGGTGGGTACAACGCACAGAGCCATTACAGCGACAGGGGCTCAACAGCTCCCCCTGCAGGACACAAAAAGCAGCTGCATGTGACACACAGGTAACACAGGCTGTTGCTACTGAATCTCCCTGTGATGAGATTTGATTTGATTTATCATGAATCAGAACTCGGAAATCCCCCGACACTGTTGCTGTCAGATTTTATCTACTGGAGATGTTTATTGTTTGAGGGGAATAGGTGCATGGGAATTGGGTGTAGTTTGTGTCATGAAGCAGGCAAGGGATTCAAAAAAAGAGACATGTTGGAGCAAGTACAGACAGATATAATCAATGTGAAACTATATGCTGTATGTATCCAAAAGGAATAATGAGTGAAATTAAACCACATTTAAATTCAACAGAGAGATCAGTGACAAAACATCCTATTTGACAACGTTAAAGAAGCTAAATACAATTCCTGGATTCTCTTACTGATTTGGATCCACACCAAAACTGAATGGATAATTTCTTGACCCAGGCTGCATCCTTCTATCAAGTTTCATGTAAATGGCTTTAGTGGTTTTTGCATAATCCTGAACTAAGATAACCTCATCTACAGTATAGGTAGCTTTCTAGAAACCCTTCATTCTGCCACTTAAAGAGAACTGGCATTGAAGTACCGTATTCATTGTTTCTTGTGAGAAGAGAAACTGTGGTGGTGATATCAAAGCTCTCACTTCACTTGAGCTTTCATTTCCAACTGGTCCCCTTTTTATGGCTCTTTTGAGTTTAACTCATCATTAACCTAAGATTTCTGAGATTGTGCAGATTTGATTCATTTTATAAGGTTTATTTGAATTTGTCAATTGTGTCATAGAATTAACTCTGTTTCCCTCTCTCTCTCTCTCTTTCTCTTTCTAATTGGTTCTGCTTGATGCAGTGATATGGGAACTTATTGCTCTTTCACTTTTTCTGCCATTTATGACTGCATTGTTCATATACATACAGTGTCTCCATCAGTGGTGTACACAGTCATAGGATTCTGTATCTCACACTGTCACATTCTGTAGCTCCATCTTCTGTTTGGCCTCATCAATCCAACTCTTACAAACCTACGTGTCTTGTTCTTACCCGCCTTCACTTTCGTTCTGTCCTACGTGGAACATAGTTTTTCTTTCCCGAGCAGCTACTTTACAAAAGCTTGTGATAAATCCAGGTCTATCATGTTGTTGATGCGCTGCTGATTGATCTCACACTGATGGCTGATTAGATTCCCCACGTTACGACAAAAAAAACCATCTGTTACTTTAATTTTGAAGTGAAGTAATCATGTATTTTTTCATTCAGTGTCATACTCAAAAAATGTAATGAACTAATCCACACGACTGAGGCTGACAGGTTACGCAATTGTGAAGCTTTTAGAGGACTGCTATAATGTGGTGGTGGCACAGTGCTGTGCAGCTAACTAGGCCCCTAAAACAGTAATAAATAGGCTTTTTCATGATCAGAAATTGTCTCGGAATAGGTGCACGGACATGACAGTGAATTCATAATGCTCAGTCACTAGATCTCAGTCCAGATGAACATTTGGGATGACATTTTCGGGAGCAACAATAATCAGCTCCAAACTTGACACACTTACAGACAGAACATACTGGAGACAACACAGGAAGCAATAGGCACCTCATCATTATGACAAGCATCACATGAAATGAATGTATAGATTTGTGCTGACTTGAAAGGAACATTTTACTATACATGTGTTCAGTGGGCATCATCTAACTGCATCAAACAACCCACGTCTTTATATAAAAAGCTACATTCAAAAGATGAATCCAAATGCTAAACAATGAAAGTATATGGTAAACTGTACATGTGTTACTATGTGAGTGCATTCATCTGGATACACTTTTCCTCTCGTGTCACTTTTCTGCAGCCTAAAAAGAAATCACAGGACATCTGGTGCAGGTTTTTGTTGTCAGCCCAACGCTCCCTGAGGCTTCTCGGACTGACAACGCCCTTGTACGTCTCAATTTATTTTCTGTCTCTAGGTGATGTGCTTGTTCTTTAATCAGATGGGTATGTGAAGGGGAAATAAACCCAAAAAACTTTCTAAGACCTTGAGTGAAGTCTGTCTCTTCAAGGTTGGTTTCATCTGCCAGACTTGATGCACTCAGACCTCCATGTCTTTAATGACGTAAACATTTCCAACAAATAACCGTCCAATCTGCTCTCCCTCAGCTGTATTTGTGGCCTAAAGGAACAATCAAAGGTTTGATCCCTGTGACCCAAGTTATAAATCCCTGTAATGAGCATCAAAAAGCAACTACTAAAAATGTTCTTTTACGTTGAGGAATGGTTCTGTGAAACCTTTCTTCATCTTTTTTTTAAATGGCCTAATTTGTGCATCACTTCCTGATTAGGAATTAACTTGTTCACATAATAAACACACACTGCTCCTCCTGCTTCTCTCCACCCTAAATATCATAACTAATGCCCCTTGTCTGCCCACATGCTATTTTCAGATCCCGATGATTAATACCTCTTTTTTAGTCCTAGTCATTCAGAATTTTTAATTTGTGTCAGATCAGCCTCAACGCTGCACTTACAGTCCTAAAACTGTTTGCTACTGATGTACCATGACTCATTGTGAGTTTTCAAAAACCAAATTTGTTTGCACAGCTTAATAGCCTGAAGGGACGCTCCGCTGCCTTCACACGATGAAGATGAGTTTGGCTGTGATGAGAACGGTTCGACCCACACTGTGAAAACAAATGTCTCTTGAGGCTCTGGAGGAGCTTTTTTTCAAGTGTGAGAGAAAATCGTCAGATGATGTCACAGTGGTGTCATCTGGGTTAGGTCAGCTAATTTAAAAGAACAGAAAGATGCTGCATGACACACACCAGGTAGTGAGACACTCACAAAATGGTGACATTGACTTGTATTATACTGGAAATGTATGATCCAGTGTTTTTTGCTACTTCACCAAATTGTCAGGATATCTCATCTTCTGCTGCTTAAGATTTTAATGATTCCTTTTTATTCATAAGTTTTCCAAGTATGAGACTAAATTACACGAACAAACTTTGAATGCTTAAACACAAAAAAGCTAACTTTTCTGGCAGATATAATTCAAAAAATGTTCCCTAAATGGATAAAAAGACAATTACTTAAATTGGTAATACACAAATTAATTACGTTTTTTTTTCCAAATTGAATTCTTCAATATAACTAAATTAAATTAAGTAAATTGATTTCATTTAAGTTGTACAATTGTTATTAATCTGTGTGCTTCTGATTAAAGTATTATATATCATCTAAATGTCCTGTGCCTTTCTCCCTGCTGTGTTATGTGTTTTAGAACCTTTCTAAAGTTAATGTTGATTCGATCAGACACTTCTGTGGGCACTGCAAGATGTGAACTTGTCAGTGTGACCTGATTTGCTCTTCCTTTATCTTCGTACCACGTGTTTCTCAGCCTTTTGTTCTGCCATGGTGCCCATGAGCAAAGCAAACACCTCGAAGGGTTTCAGCAGGACTCAGGGAACCTTCAACACCTCAACGTTTCCCAACTGAGACCCTGATCCCATTGCTAAAGCTACATTCCCATCTCAATGACTGAACTTTACCTTCTCTGGCCCCTGGAAGCAGATCCGGCACTGCGGGGAGCACGTCCCGCTCTCTGAGAGACTTGGCAGGGAGGCAGTTTCCAGGCCTCCTCCTTCTTCTCCTCCCTGGGTTTTGTCTCCTTCTTCCTTATCCTCCAACGCCAGACTGCGGGGCCGGGGGTCAGAGCCATAATATTCCTCCTCGTCGTCCCGGTGGGAGCAGCTGAGCGGCGGCCAGCCACAGTCTGCTATAGGCAGCCCCCTCATCCTGGTGTGCGGGTGTGGGTCTGTGCCTGTGTCGGTCCTGATGCTGCTGCTGCTGCTGGATCCAGAGCGCATCAGTAGCAACACTTTGAGTTCATTGAAAAACAGCCGGATCCGATACTTGAACATTCTTCAGCAGCAGCTTTGACTACACAGAACAAGAACAACAGCAGCCTTCAGCTTCACAGCTCCCTCATGCACCATCATCAGCACTATACTATTATTATTCCTATTATTGTTATTGTTATTATTGCATTTCTACCATCCACAGCTCACATCCTACTGAGCAAAAACACAGGACTCGGTCAAAAAAGCGTGCGAAAGACTTGATAGGCTGGATCAGCCCACAGCTCTTTGCATATCCTGTTGTTATAGCGAGTGCACTGAAATCCAGCCAATAGGGACGAGTCATTTTTCATGGACAGAGGCGGTTTCTCCCCAGATTCAATGGAGGCTGAGAGCTCGTTAGTCAGAGGGGTCCAGCAGCTTCCTCTCGTGCCTGTTTACCCTCAGTCCGGTGATTTGTTCTAGATACCGAGGGGGAGACATCCTCTCGGTGATTTAAATGTGCAGGAGCTGTCCGAGGAGCACGTGCAACATAATGTTTGCTGTCTCTTCTTCCTCCTCTTCAGCCGGAGAAGGTGTCTGATGGGGGGATATTAAATCCTATTAAAACGTGACTCAAATCCGATTTCCATTTGAGTTGCTCATTTTTCTACAGGGGAGATGGAGGCACATGGAGGTGACAGGCGAGCATCCTTTTGTCTAGCGGTGGCATCACTTCACCACTGTGTCCTCGTGTCTCCTCTTCGCCTGAGCATGTTTTTTTTCTTCCCCCAGCTACATCCAGCAAGATTTCACCCCCCCTCTCCTCCTCACCTCAGGCAGTCACAAAGTTACAATCCGGCGATGCAAAAAAATACAAAGAGCAATCTGATGAACAAAGAGAGAGAGACTTCTCTCCTTTCCCCATCCGTCTCTGCACGCGCCACAAATCAGGAGGAGAGGGAGAGAGGAGCAGGGTGCCAGATATGGATTCCTGCAAACTGCAAAAAAAAAAAAAAGAGCCGACACAACAGCAGACTGCATCTGTCCCTTCCGGAGTCTCTTAAAGACAAGCGCACCTCAACATCATCATCTTCATCATCATCTTCATCATCACATACTTCAAGAATCAGGACGTCGATGTTAAAACTTGGTTTCAGTTGTTTTTCTTGTCAGCAGGGCTAGGGGCTATAGGGAATCAGTTTATCAATACAATTTTATTTGAAGAGCTGATATTCACAAATCACAAGTCATCTGAACCTAAACTTCAGAGAGAACCACATTTGAGGGATCCCTCTCTCCCAGGACGGAGACAGAAGTGCAAAAGATGCCACATGAGCATGTCAGTAAAAAGAAAAAAAGAAGCTTCTGACATAAATGGAGAAGTGTATCAATGTTTAAATAAATAAGAAAGAGTGCGACAGAGATGGCAGAAGCAATAATGATAATTGAAATGCTAGTGTAATTGCCTATAATGGTATATTTGTGAACAGATATTAAGCAATCTGGTTGTAATCATAATCTACGATCATCTTTAATCCATGATCCACAGAATGTGTTATTCCAATTAGGACGTAAATCTATATGCACAGTCACATTATTGGGCTTGGACTTCCCTATGGGGGACATTTGACAACTCCCCAAAAGTTTAAATCATCACATTTTAAGGCGAGGATATGTTTGAAGTTTGGTTTAGGTTAATCAATCAATCAATCAATCAAATTTTATTTGTATATTTATTTGTTTCATGGGGCTTAGGTTAGGGTAAGGGGTGAGTGTTGCAGGGAAGTATGGTAAAGGTTTGAGTAGGTAACTTTGAAAGCTTCTGTTTAAATTCATGTTATTAAATTAAACACATGACGACTACAAAGCTTTTTCCATTGAAGACAATTTGAAAAGTCATATATTAAAATAAACATAAAAATAAAATAACATATTTAAGTGTCTTAATGTCTTCATTCAACTTCTTCAGCATCAGGCTCCTGTTTCCAATGTGATGGGTCCCTGTGATTTAATAGGACAGACTGTATGCCTTGTGATGAAATTTCCTGAGACAAGACCTGCCTTATTATTATTATAGTATTATTGTCCTCTTTCAAGCTCTTTACTGTCTTTTATTTTCATTTTGTCTCTGTGTTGTTCATGTACGGTACCCTGAATCCACCTCTGTGTATGAAATGTGCTTTATAAATAAGACTGCCTCACCTCTCTACATTTGATAAAAATTACTTATAGAGGATTAAAGTTAATGTGACCCAGCAGCTTGTTCTTCATACATGATGTGCTGTAAATAATCATACAAATACTAGTACAACTACTACTAATAATTATTATTATAAAAAAACCAATGATAATACAACTACTACTACCAATAATAATACAAGGTTTATTATTATTTATACAATTGCACAATTTCTCACAATTACATTATATTGTACTTCAATTTATTTATTTCTATAAACTGCTAATAAATGCTACATATGGAAACTGTCACCACTAAAATAATCTGACATGTGGAGACAACAACAAAGATCACAAAACACTCAGCACTCTATTTTGAAAAGGGTTGAAAAGTTTTGGATTTACAAGTGCCTTTAAATTAAATATTTGACCAGGTCACACCATGTCCCATAATCTTATTTTCACATTTGTATACAGTATATCTGCTGTTTTTAATTGTTTGACCTCTTTTATTTGACTCTCTTTAATCGTTAACGCCATTTCTCTTGAATTTGTCCTGAACTCAGCTTCCTGGTTGTGGTAGGTTTCTCCTCGTTGTGTCTCACAGAGGATTGAAGTTTTGTGACCCAGCAGCTTTAACTTCTTCTTCATACATGATGTGCTGCTGCAGACTTTGGCTCCTCCTCCACAGGAAGCGACTGAAAGAGTGCGGGCTGGAGGAAGAGAAAAGAAACACACACACACACACACACAGTGGAGGCCTAAAATCATTTCGCTGGACTGAGTGTTCTCCACCTCAGACCCTGTGAACTCCTCCGTCTGGACCCGACCTGCCTGCTCCGGGCCGGGGCTGTGGGAGCTGGGACAATACGTGGCACGTTAGTGAGCATGTCCTCCTCTCGGAGCTGAAGGAGTCGAGCTTCCTCTCGGGGCGAACAGACGAGGTAAGTCCAACATCTGCTTCAAGTCATGTGTGTGAGGCACAGCGGGGGGGTTATATCATGTGGATGTGCGTGTGAGTGGGGGAGAGAAGCGGCGATCTGTCTCCTCTCCGCTCCCTCCGCCACGTCAGTCAACATGTGGGTGAAGGAGGAGAAGTCTGTGGCCTGTAGCTGCTGCACTTTGTCTCCACTTTAATTCACAAAGGAGCGCTATGGAGGAGCACCACGTGTCGGGACAAGAAGAGCTTCCTCTGCCCCGCTGCTCTCCGCCCACCGGCCCCCAGTGTCCGGCAGTGACTCGACCAAGCTCCTAAATGAATGAGTGGGAGTGATGTCTGATAATCAATAGTGACAGGCTGCTGATCAATAGCTGCCCTCACAGGTTAATGGCCTCAGGGGCACTAACTTCCAGGTCTTGTGCTAAAAAAGAAAAAACAAAGTGTCTGGCCCTGATGTGAGACTGCAGGAGAGGAACTGTGGAGATGTTTTCAGGGTGACAAGTCATACACACAGCCCGAGCACTTCCTGTAGAGGAGAGGAAGCATGAAGACCACAACAAGCCTGATCATTCACAGTGAAGGACTTTCAACAGGATGTTTCTGTGATTCACTGGAAAAGTTTCAGGTCAAATGTAATGTTTAGCTCTTTTGCGAAATGAGAGACATCGCAGTCATTAGAGGTGTTGACCCAATGCAGATCAATCACTTGAGGTAAAGGCATCAAACAGAATACATCACGATACATCAGTATATACGGTACAATATTATAGATCAACATATACAACATAATACATCAATATATACAATACAATAGAACGCAACATTATTAAACCCCGAGGCAATTTGGTAAAAAAAAGTAAAAGAAGACAAAAACAAGATCCAGACATGCACTGACAAACATCCACAAAAACACATGAAAAGACCTGTTAGGCTGTGTTGAGCTAAAAATGCAATTGATTGATTCATTTGATAGTCCACATGTCATGGCAGATCGGCAATGGTCAACATGGCAGATTTTCAACTGTAAAAGTGACTTTCAGCACTTTGACATTTTATAGCAAAGGCCCAAATAACCCTCTTCTCTCTCTCTCTCTCTCTCCCCTCAACTATTTCTGTATTTGTCAAACTTTGTGGCTCTATTGTGGCTCTGCTGCCTCCCACAGCTGTTGCCACACAACCTGCCGAGGAATGTTGCACTCTCACAGTGAGTTGATGGTAAACTCCCAAAATCAGTTGCAACAGGACTTTTATGGAACGGTAAACATCTGAAAAATGTGTACAGTAGAGAATGACTAGAGCCTGCCCACGAGAGCTGCACTGTGATATTATCATCGTTCAGCTTATAAAATAACATTAAATATGAGGACACAGCACATATGTTATATTGTTTTTGGATGATACTATCATGCAAATGTTGAAAAACTATTCTTAGTCGACATATTTCATTTTTTGAAAGTTACAATTACCTGGAAATTGTGAGACTGTTGTTAAGTTTGTTCTATATAAATATTTTAGAATTATGAATTCAAAGAAGTTTTCTCTTGTGTTTCTGTGTTTATGACATAAAAGCAACAAGTTAACATCTTAATTATGGTGTCATAAGAAAATAGATGTGTCTGATAACAATATAATAAACTTAAATCAAATCCCACTCTTCAAAAGTGCTTTATAAAGCAAGACAACAAATCAATAAAAGGACAGAGATTAAATTAATAAACAGCCCAGATTAAATCAAGAAGATGCTTTCGGTTTGAAGTGCATGTTGAAGTAGTTAAATCATTGTAAAGAAATAAATTTAAACAATACTGTTAGTAAAATAAACACTGTCATTATTTCACATTTTATTAAATATGTGCCACAGATTTGTAAATGCAAGTTGCTTAGCTTGTTGTCTGTGTGTAATTTGAAACTGTTAAAAAAACTTTTTAGTTCATATTTAAAATATTAGTTAATCAGTTTAGATTCCTGCCACCAGATCACAGAACCTTTTTTTTCCTATGTTGAATAATGTGGTAGTTACATGCAGTAGTAAAGTTATAGTTTAATAGTGGCCTTGAGATATATTTAGGAATCGGATGAAACACAAACATTGAGAAGTACTGAGAAACTGTGAACATTTTTTAAGAAGAATTAAAAACAGATCTCTATAAAAGAAAATAAATTGTAGATTTTTAATAATGGTCCCTGAAAAGTCTGCTCAGAAAAAGAGCAGTGTTGCGTAAAAATGTTTCCTAGGTTTTATCATATTTTGCACGAGGGAAAGGTTAGTTCACAGCTGAGTTCCCACATGAATTTTGTTGGCAGGAACAAGAATGCTGACAGATTGTTG